TGATTTAAAATTTAAGAACAGTAACAATATCGTCGAAAAGATAGCAGCACTATCTATAATGCTGGTTTTCATACAATTTTGTTTAAGTTGATATTTATACACTTTAAAATCATTGTAATTTAAATAATAATAAAATTAATTAAATGCTCTTCACTACTCTTCAGATCAGCTCATAAAATAAGTTCGTAATTTGCTAAAAATAAGTCTTATGTTAAAAAATAATATATACATTATAATTTAAATCAAATTTTGTGTCGAGGAAAACTGTAACGTAAAACAAATATAAAATATGTAATGATATTTGACCAATATTCTTTACAAATATAAATTAGCTAAGTTAGAATAAAGGGATCATGTAGTGATATCTATAAAACAGAGCCTGGTTGCATACAAGTTAAACTCTGTAAACACGTAACCTACAAAAAATAACAACAAGGTATAAAAATATATATGAATATTTAAAAAAAATAGTGTCAAACTAACTCGGACACTTTTTTGTAGATACCACATTTTTATATGACTGGTCATTTCATTCAAGCTTAAGTGTTTTCAAATATCAACCGTTTTCGTCAGTTTAAATCATATTATAAAGCTTGATAACCTCTTTTAGACTGACCTTGGCGTAATCTAGTGATTAATGTGAATCTGAGGGTTCTCTGTTGGTCTCTACGGTCAAATTCCATGATTCGGTCAGACAAGAGTAGGTCAAGGATCAACTGTGGGTGTTGCTGACTAGCTGGCTTGCTTCTGTCAAAACTTATTGCTCCCAGTGGATCCTCTCGAATTTATCGAAAAGTAATTAGACTAATTTACATATTTAAGTTGTTGTTTGTTATTAAGCTGTGCCACTGGGGAGCCTGTATTTAAGTATTATTTAGAAATAAATAATATTTCAGAATTCATTGCTATGATCTTTGCGTAAGATGAATAAAAATTTGAAATGAAGCAACGTACAGTTAATTCAAATCGGCATTCAATAATTATTAAATTATGTTTTATTGATAATAGCACCTACAAGCTTCGTCTATAGTAAGGAAATAACACAGAACGTTTTATCAAGACAATTCCAGTAATTATTATTGAGTTGATGTAAATTTTTCAAAGAGTGCAAACACATTTTGTTCTCAAAAAATACAGTAGAATACAAATGATCGGATTCATAACCAGTTTAAACAATGGAGTCCACATATTATATCATTCGGTCTAAACACTTGCTAAAAATAGTGATTTTTATTTTATATTTCTATGTAAAATACACATAAAACCTCACGAGTGATGATTGCTACACAATGAGCTATCTTTGGCGAAATGGAACTCTGAATTTTAGATTTATGAGCTCTCGAGCTTACCGTTGAGCACTAAGAGAATAATAAAATGTGTAAATAACGTATAAAGGTATTGCTACTATATACTTGTTGATTTAATTTTTTTGTGTGTATATTATGTATATATTTTTTATTTTAATAGGGGAAAATGATTTTCTTTCTTCAAATTTTCCCCTGTTACAAAGATTATAAACTACACTTTAAACATTGGAATCTGGTAAGTTACTATAATATTATGTTGAATGTATATACAGTATTTTACACTGGAAATGAAAATGGCAAGAAGACAAAACTAAATGGGTATTCTTACGTTTTAATTTACAAAGGAAATTTAGTTATGAAACAAAAAAGGCCTAAATATTGGAATTCTTACACGTGCTGCCATCTGCTAACACATCTTTACTTTCTAAGCTGCAGATCTTTCTATTTGTGTACACATTCTTATAAAACTAAATCGTATTAATCGCTTTAAAGTTTAGATCCTAATTGTAATGTACATTTAATATTGATTGTTTCAGGTAGAAATATCGAAGATTTTGGATATTTTTATGGATCTGCTGAATTATATTCCTTGTAAATAAACTAAGCATTTAAAACTGTCGTTTAGTTAGAAACAAAAATTTATTTTAAGCGACATTCCTATATGAAAACTTCATCTGATGCTATTAATTTTAAAGTGTGGTTGCGATAACATTTACTCCACACTGGGAGGAAGAGGTCTTAATATAACCTTACCCTCTCAGGTCGCGCACAACGACCAAAATACCGATCCGGACAAGATGCCCCAATATTCAAATAATACTTTTACGCTGATTCATGAAGAACCCAGAGGGCAACAATATGGAGCGTTGTTTTATTCAACACTACAAATTTATCGGCGAGTCCTTAGTTTATCCACCGGTGACGTGTTTAAAACACCAGTTCGGTAAACAATAATGGCGACTGGTAGAAATGTTCTCCATCTTCGACACGTTTAGTCTTCCAAATTAATTTAAAGGGCCAGTGATTCATCAAATTTAGTGTTAGAGGGTTTCTATCATTATGAGGATATATATTTAGTGTTAGAGGGTTTTATCATTTATGAGGATATATATTTAGTGTCAGAGGGTTTTATCATTTATGAGGATATATATTTAGTGTCAGAGGGTTTTATCCTTTATGAGGATGTATAATAATTTAACTTATAACATTAAGAATTTGTTGCTTGTTTGTTTGTTGTTAAGCACAAAACTACACAATGCAGGCATCGAAGTCAGATTTTTAAAGTTATAAGCTTTCAGGTTTACTGCTGAGTCACTGGGAGACATCACACTAGGAGGTAGCTGATGAAGTAGGCTCCATAAAATGGTGGAGATACACAGTTTTTATGCTGAAACCAGTTGTTGGAAAGGGGTTGCCCCCAGTGAAACATTATTATTAAAAAAAAAAGACCAATGAGGGTTACAAGTGTAAAACTTTCCATCTTTACTTGACACCCCCCCCCCCCACACACACACACTT